GTCTGCTGAGTTGGCCGTTCTACTCAGCGTCACGATGGGAACGATGTATTGAGGCAAATGCAAATGGACGCACCGTTTCGACATAACACATTTTGTTTACCTTTTCACCAGTGAAACCTAGACGTTGTCCGCATCACAATACGACATTTAAAAGTAGACCACTTGAGTGTACACGCGTCTACATGCGTTGTGCCTGGATCTGGTCGCAAGGAAACATACGAACACACTTGGTGGTTCAGCCTGGAGTCAAATAAATCGATATCAGGTGCGGGGAAAATGTCTATTATTTTCTGACAGACACCCGGGTCAAGTTTCCATTCCAAATCGTCCTTGAAATGACGGGAAGCATAATCGGCTCCAGTGTTTTGTGAGCCGGGGAGGTGTGATGCAGTAAGGCAGATATTGCGATGCATACACCAGAACCAAATTTCCCTGGGTAAAGAATTCAACAATTCGGATTTTGAGCCTCCAAAGTGTTTCAGATAGGCTACTGCCGTGGCATTGTCTGGATTAGATGAACTAGGATTCCATTCTGGCCGGCAAAGAATGATTGTATGTCTAGGAAAGCAAGCCTTAAGTTCAAGATAATTAATGTGATAAACAGTTTCCCAGCGGGACCATTTGCTCCCACCAAACGACTGGCGCAGTGAGCACCTAAGCCTTAATTTGAGGCATCAATTTTTATCGTATAATCAGGCGTGTGTCTATGCATCGATGACGGTAGGGTTATTGACCACCACTGTAAATCAGAGTTGGCTTGGTCAGAGAACACCATTTTGGCATCAAAGTTTCCTCCACTGACGGCAAACATTTCGTTTTTCTCATTTTTGATGGTAAGTCTGTAAAAGGATCCAAACGGAACGGCTAGTTCACAGGACACTAATAACCCAACAATTTTAGTAACATCCCGAATTTTCGGGGACTCCATCTTGGTAAGTTGTCGGATTGCTGCAAGGGTGTTTTCCACCTTGCATGGAGGAAATGATATGGTCATGCTTTCTGAATTAAGACGAAAACCAAGAAAAACGATATCTTGGGTTGGTGTTAAGACTGATTTCTTGGTATTGATCAAGAACCAGAGACGTTGAGTGAGGGCAGCTCTGGCTTGCACATTGTCAGCACATTCTTTGGCCGTTAGCCCTACAAGTAGCGAGTCATCTATGTAGTCACGTTATTCGTGACCCATTTGTCTCAGATACGCTAGCATAGGCTTCATGACCTTTGTAAATACCCAGGGGGGTCAAGCCATAGGCCAAAAGGGAGGCAGGTAATTTCGTGAACTTTGTCTTACAAGGTGAATCGCAGGAATTTGCGCTGCTCTTGGGCAATCGGGACTTAAAAATAGGCATCTTTTAGATTGTAGGGGTCGATTTTTACGGTTGGCTCGGTTAAATGGTTACATCAATGTCGTAATTAAAAGGAATCGGAAGGCACCCTACATTATTTTTCAAACTTAGATACGGGCCCACAAGCAAAGACGCACTGGACAGATATTTACGTCAACAAACAAAACAAAATAAATTTATTAATTTAATGCAAAAGAATACTAGTCTTGCTTATGACGCACCACGGTCCCAGGATATCTCGCTGAACTCTTTAAGGTCACAATATAAACAGCGTGTACATGAGTACGAGTATCACTCAACGAGGGCACGGTGTTAGCTGTGATCATGGTTTATAAGACACGTTAGGTGGGCCAAAATTTGTAACAAGTGGTTTCAACTTACAAAGAAACTCCGGGACGATATATGGGTATACGCAATCAGGGTACTACAATATTTACAATATTAAACTCCACCAAGATGAGGTACGTCTCGTAATAGGCACATGCAAGAAAAACGGCATGGCAGAGTTTTGAGCACACACCAAAAAAAAAAAAAACGAATAAGACAAAAAAAATGAGAACAATCAACACTTGTCCGATTAGCTGCAGTCCTCTAAGATGTCCGAAGAATGTTCGTTGATCGAGATCAATCCGGTGAGTGGTCCGAAAGAAAAGGCGGTAAAAATGATTCAGCGGAAAGTTCGACGTTTACACCGCGACAAACAAGAAAGACGACAACCGGAGAACAGCGTCACTCAGCGGGAAACGCGTGTATCGTGGTGGTGCATCCAGCGAACGGTGGGTCCGGCACTACACGAAAACAGCTACATGAAGACGACGACTCCAACAACAGTGCAGCATTACAGGAACGAGAGTAGCGAAACTTGACACTCCAGCTACCGCCAAATCACAGTAAAAGTACGTACGTGGTACGCGCTGGTCAAATCTTCTCCAAAGTATAGGAAGTTCACCTCTAAAAGAAATTCCAATGGACTAGTGCGCAAAGTGGAAACGGCAGTACACTAAACAGGTTCCCAGACCGGGCTAATAGTAGGCGAAATTTGCGGATAAAAACGGCACAATGAATAAACTGACCACCGGCCGTGGTGAGGTGAAAGCGAGAGAGAGGGGGAAAGTGTGCATACTCGGCCGGAGAGGGTGCGTGCAGGGAAAAAAACATGTGCATAAATATAGACTAACAATTCGGGAGCTGATTGGATAAACGGAGGGAAGCTAGTACATATTCATAAGGAAGTAAATAATCATAATAAAGGCCAGCTCCCGGGTGAAGAACAGAATGCGGCTACAAGGTTATATATCGTCTGGCTTCTACAAGATCAATGGATGCCATGTACTCCTTTGGCCGAAGTAGTTGAATAGCATCCCGAATCGTTTCCATTTTGAAATGGTGGTAAGCTACAGAAGCATTTAAGCCTTCCAAATTAATAATGGGGCGAAATGACACATCTTTCTGAGGCCTCAGAAAAATGTTAGATAAGAAATGTTCGTGTTGGATGTTTCGACAGCCAATAGCCCCCTTTTGGAGTAATTTCGCAACCTCATCAGTTATCATGGTAGATTCGTGCTCCGAAAAGCATATTTCTTTCAGCAAATGCATTTGGGCTGGGAATGTGGCAAATTCAATGTGGTAATGTTGGAGAGCGTCCAGAACCCATTGGTCCGACGTAATTTCGCGCCATTTGGCGACTAAGTTACCGAGTCTGCCTGCCACAGGCATATCTGCCACTGAATTTTGAGCGATGAAATCACATTGGTGCTCACTCACCCTGTGCAGGCGTGGCATACATAGTGTGGACCTCTGCACAAAAGAAGTTCAATGTAGGGTATGAGGGCGTTGTGTGGACTCGCACACGTCCACACTATGTTTTCCCCTCTCTGAAAAACAGTTTCTGGGGCATTTTGGGGTAAAGGTTTATATCTGTGGCAAATTGAAGAGGAACAGTCCAGGAAATCTTCAACGAAAATCCAGCTCGAAGGAGTTATCCTAGTTGGAGAAAAAGGAGAATTTTCCTCAAGTTTCCTTAACCACAGGAGAACAAAGGAATGTCCACACTTTGTATGTAAAACAGGTATAACAAAGGTTGCTTGGGTTTACTTGGTCACAGTTGGCCGTCGCCCACCCGTCGCTTTTTTTCTCTGCCACGTTTGAGGGCGCGAGTAGTTTAAATAACCCTGTCGAGTCTGACCTGATGGGCGGGGTGATTTTGCATCCCGTCTGTAGCGCTGTTTTGAGTGACTTTGCTTTGGATTAGTGAAAGAACTTTTCTGCTTGCCAGATTTTTGGCCAAGTTTATTCGTCTTTTTAATGTCTTTGCATTGTTGAGAGAGGTTATCACCGAACAGCAGACGCTATATGGGCGAACAAAGGCTGGTAAACTGGTGATTCAGGTCAGGTTTAATAAATTCCTGGCGACGGAGGTTTAGCTCGTATTTTGTGTTACCGATTACAGCCAGCGAGTCTCACAGTTTTGTGGTGACAACTGTTCGTTTTCTTTCTGATTTTTGGATACCGGTAAAGCAGATTTTACCAAAGCTGTTTTTCTCCTTTCAGGTGAGCAGAAAGGTTAATCGAACGTTTTCACAACCGTGAATTCCACTTTTCTGCAAATTTTACATAGGCAGCCAAAAGGTTACCACCTGCTTTTCTGCTTGGTACAACATTGTACAATCTAAATGCTGGGATGAAAAATATTATAACAATTTCCGATTTTACAGCTGAGAAAGTGGGCCGTCATTGATTTCTTCTTAATCAATTAAAAACCTTGAATTGAAAATGAAGTAGACGTTTCTTCCTGGGAACTTTAAAGTAAAAATAATATAGCAACAAAACAACAGCTCATTTCACACATTCATGTCAGTTTATATTTTGAATAATTAACACTTGTGATAAATTGTATCTGAATGTAAAAGCCAGATGGAGACAGGCAGCTTCGCGGAGTGAGGGCGCCACAGCTATCACGGGGACACTCGGCTTCGTGGAGGGAGGGCGCCACAGCTATCAGAATAGGGTTCCACCCATAGAAATAAAACGCCTATAATTTCAGGAAAAAGTCACTGGTAAATATAAACAAAACAGAAAACATATTCGTATGACTACAAAACAGTTTATACCCTGCATGTCAACACTTTTCTTTTTTAGATAATTTGATATCACATTCTTAACTATTTTAATCATATAGACCTCATAGAACACGTAAAATGTGACTACTTGAGTTAACGATTTATAGTGTTCTTCATTTTATTAAGGAGAAAAACCGGAGGCCTGTTTAAATCCTTTCACAGCATTGGACATTTCACAGCATACGGACGGGTGGATTCCGCTACAAATAGGCAAGTATTTATTATTATTATTGATAATGTCTACAAGCTCAGCAATTTTTATCAGATTCTAAAGACCTAAGGTCAAAAGGTGTGTTGGAATGATCCATTTGTGTCAGTTTATATTTAGAATAATTAAAATTTGTGATAAATTGTATCTGAATGTGTGAAGCCAGATGGAGACAGGCAGCTTCGCGGAGTGAGGGCGCCACAGCTATTACGGGGACACTCGGCTTCGCGGAGTGAGGGCGCC